GCGGGAGGAAGGCTGTGTTCAAGGGTGGACTCCTCCTCCAGCTCCTGGCTTCTCCAGCTCTTTGGTGGCCACGGGCAGGACAATCCAGGCTGGGTCAGAGCAGCAGCTGGCGAGTCTTCTCATATGTCCCCAGGAAGATGAAGCCTCCCAGGCTGATGGCTGCCATCCGTGGGACAACACCTGCGAACAAGCTGAAGGCGAAGAAAAGGCAGTTTCAGAGGATGAGGGGATGCTGAAAGAAAAATTATCTCACGCTGGTTTTTTAAATCTCACCCTGCTGCTCACTGAAGGAACCTGTCTGGAGCTTCCCTAACAGTGCTCCTAAGCCTTGTGATTTTTTAACCCCTCTCCACACTCCTCAGGTGCAGAAGCAAAGGTGCAGGAAGCTACGGGCCACGTTGTGGAAAGAGGAGCTCAGACACATCGCCGGGAAGGGCTCAGACAGATGGGAAGTGTCCTGTCCTCCACCACCTCCACCCTGCCTCAGCAGAGGGAACCCCTCTGTCTGCCAGGAGCTCCCTCACCACAGACAGCCCTGCTCACCGCAGCGGCTCATTCCCAGTAACACCCAGTGGGGACCAGCAAGGAAGGAGCAGGAACGGCTGCACGTTCAGCCACCACGATTTTTAGGTGCCTGATCCTAATAGTTCTTGGAAGTTAACAGGAAACATGTGCAAAGCCAATTGCTCGACACATCTAAGCTCATAGTTGGTTTAACAACTTCAGGACAGGCCAATGTATCCTCCCAGAGGATTACAGGCTTCCTTCGTTCCAAGCAAGGATTAAACGTTCGGCTCGAATCTGTTTGGCATCTCCCCGCTGATGTCCCTCCTGCGCGGTGGGAGCCCCTCGCAGCACAGTGGCTGAGCTCTGCAGGGACGCTGCTGTCCTCGGCTTTCCAGCCACTGCACACTCCTTGCTGGGAGCTTGTCCACAGAAATTCCCAGTGAGACCTGGCTGTGCAGGAGCCACAGGAGCTCCCAGGGCTGCCCAGGAGCTCTCTGCTCCCTGCCCGTGCCTGGCTACTCACGCTGCACCAGGGAAACCTCTGGCTGCAGTAACTGGTTTTCGTAGTAATGAGCTTTGCTAAGGAGCCTGGAGCACACAGGCAGATGGAAACATTTTATGGCTTTACTAGACAGCAATTGGTCTATTACCATAATGACAGCTTTAAACCAGAGTAATTTGTACAAGGCATGTATGGACAGAGCGCTGATAGGGTAAATCCTACGGTGCAGCACTGCAGTCGAAATGTGCCCCATCCTTCTCCTGCCCAATTAGCCAGCCCTCGTTACAGCAGCAGGGGCAGAGCCTGTTACAGAACAGCCCACTGGAGACACAGCTCTTCCACAAACAGGGGCAGATAACCCAGTTATACCCAGGAACTGCAGCCCTGGCAACTTCTATTACCAACCAGCACTTCCAAGAATCTTGGCCCTGCTCTTCCCCCCAGTTTCCCTTTCCCACCTTCCACCCGTGGCCTCTCTGACCCACACTTCCCCATGGGCTCACTACTGCAGGAGAGCAGAGCTCTGGGGCTGCCCTGAACCTGGAGAGCTGAGCTCTGCTGCAGGCCTGATCCAAACTGGTCCCCACGGGGCCACACCTGCCCCCATCAGCAGACGGGATCCATGGGGTTGTTTTGTGCCGGCCCCATCAGACACCGCTCTGGGGGGCACAGGTCTGCGGGCTGTTTGCACAGATTTCACCTGGCACACAGCCACTCCTCCCTCCCTGCCTGGGTTTTCTCTTTTGCTTCTACAACTCTCCCAGCTACTGGTCAGATCCAGCACCAAGGGCTGGGGGGCTTCACCCCCACCTTCCCATCACCAACAGCTGCAGTAAATCACAGAACCACACAGACTGGAAAAGCCCTGTAAGATCATCCAGTCCAACCATGAACCCAACACTGACAAGTCCCCAACTAACCCATGTCCCTCAGCACTATGTCTACACGACTCTTCAATCCCTCCAGGGATGGGGACTCCACCACTGCCCTGGGCAACCCCTTCCAATGCCTCAGAACCCTTTCAGCAAAGAAATTCTTCCTCACATCCAATCTCAACTGCCCTGGCCACAACTCAAGGCCATTTCCTCTTGTCCTGTCACTTGTTCCTTGGTTGAACAGACCCACCCCCACCTCTCTCCACCCTCCTTTCAGGGAGTTGTAAAGACCAAACTGCACAGTGCTGGTGACTGGCAAAGACCAAACGCAGACGCTCAGGTACAGACACACCGTGCTCTCCCCAGCTGTGCGAGGAACGGCCCGGCAGGAGTCACCAGTCCAGGAATCACATCGAAACCCCAGGCCAAGGCCTGGCTGTAGGTGTTAAACCTGCACCATGTGCCCCCTGACCATGTGCACGACTGCTGGGGTGCAGCTCTTTGTTTCAGGATTCCCAGCCCAGCAACACTCCTAGTCCCATGGTCCCAGCAGCAAAGGTGACGTTTTTGGGTGACCACTCAGCAACCCAAAGCAAATTCTTTCTCAATAGAGACTAACCAGGATGTGTGAAGTTACCTTTAGGAAAAGGCACTGCAGTGCCTGGACACAGCAGAGAGGGGCCAGTGCTGGAAAAGCTGTTCTGTGTTCGTCCACAAAACCTCCACATTGTGCTCTCGACCAAAGAGGTGCTGCGAAAAATCACCACTTTCATCTGACAAGAGCTTTGCACTGAGCTCACTCCTGTGGGCAGCTTGTGTCTCACAAAGCAGCAAGCCCTGGCACAGGGGCTGCTTTCACCACTCACATGGGTGAGATGAGGCTCTGGAGAGCAGTGGTTAGTGCCCACCATGCCATGTCCACCCCAACCTGGAAGCTCATCTGAGGAACAGGACGCCTGGTGCAAACCACCAGCTTTATCCTCCCCTACACACAACCTGGAACAAGTCATCTCACCACATTTATCACTTAAACAACCTTTGCCTCTCTCATTAATAAGTTGTGAAGCTCCATCCACTTTAAGCACCACCATCTCCTTGTGTGAAAAGTAGTTGGGACAAGATGTAAACCAGCTTTCAGGTGAATGGCTCATCTACCCCACTGAGCAAAGAGGCACACGAAACCACTGACCCCATCCCTACCCTACCTCCTGCTGCAGGTCTGGCTCTCCCCGGACAGAAAGGGATGTGAGATTTCTTGGCATGAAGCAGGGGGATTTACTAGGTGCAGATCAGGAAGCTGAGCCCTGCCCTCTGGTTTTAATAAGGTGGCAATAAGCAAAGTGTCTTTCTGCCCTCAGAATTCCTCCTCTTCAAGTACAAGATTTATTAGAGGAGCCGTAAATCATTTCATGTTGCAACTGGCCAAAAAAGCCCAACATTTTTATTGTTTTTGATTAATAGATTTATAATTGGCAGCAGGCATGGCAGCCTCTGCGTTTATTTTTCCCAAGACTTTCTTCCTTTTCCTTGCAGCTGACGCAGCTTGGCCTCCTTTATATATTACTTTTTCTCCAGATCGCTTATTGTTTTGATTTCAATTGAACTGTGTTCCCTTTGGTCCTAGTCCACGGGTACTATCTTTAGGCAGAATTTAATGTTGGGTTGTTTAGAAAAGGGCACTGCTGAAACACCCCAAAAAGAACACAAACATACATTTTTATTTTCTGCTGTCAGAGTGGGGAAAGGGGGAGGTTTCCCCAGCCAAACCCATGCCTCTTGTCACCCTTTAAAGCTCAACTTCCATGAGAAGCAGACGTGGCCTCAACAAGCCACGTAGGACCTAAAACTCATCCACTGCCAGGTCACCTCATCATCTCAAAGAGTGAACCTGAGACAACCCATCTCTGAGCGCTGCCGGGGGGCACAGCTGGACATCTTCCTGGAATCGGTGTTCAGGAACTTCCTGCAATTTGTTTTGAATTATTTCCCACATGTGTAGAAAGAGGACTGAACTTTTATTAGCTGTGTGAGCAGAGATCAAATGTTAAGAGAAAACTATCTCCTGCAAAGCTGCAGTGTGCACGCTGCTTCGAGCAACAGTTTACAAATGTTAGAACAGCACCTTGAATGAATCGGCCACATCAAGAGGATTAAAAACCTGTGACAAATTACAGTGAAAAGCCCCAAGTAAAGCTTCCAAAAAGCTCCATTTCTCTTCCAGGCCAAGGGCAGGTGGGACATGAGCCCTACACCAAAGGAACCACAGGCTAAACCTCATGGACTGGAGGAGTTGTTTAAGCCATAATCACTAGGAGTGGCCAATAACTGGTGTGACTTACGCTCTCAAAGAGGGCAAGGTGGTGTAAACGAAGCAGGTGTCTGTAAAAATCAGTAATAATTTATAAGCCCATAACACCTCAAAATGTTCTACAAACACTAGCAGAGGACTTCCTGTTCCCAACACTGCTCCAGTGTCAGAAATGCAATTCTCTGTCTCAGGAACGGGTAAAGCCAGGCAGTCAGGAGGCTGGATTGACATCACCCCAACCAGTCTGCAGAAAGCCCGGAACATGCCCACACCCCAGGCACAGGAGCAAAGCAGCCTGAGAGCTGCTCTGTGGCTGCTTGGACTCACTCTTTGCACTCAAGCTTGTCTCGGAAAACTTGTATTTTTGCAAAAAATGTCTCACTGGAGAAATCCAAGTGGGCATGTGCTCAAGCCCAGACCTGATGGGAGGCTCAAAGAACAAGTCAGGGAGCACAGAGCTCCCTTCCTTCTGCTTCAGCTTGTCCTGCTGGCACCACACCGGCATCATGTGCCCACAACACGCTTCACAGTAAGAGCAGCAAATGTAAAGGAACAGAGGAGACCTTGCTGGTGTCTTCAAATCAGTAGGAAACTGCCAGGAGAAAGAAAAGACTGCCCATAAGGGACACGTGTCTCCCATGTTGGCCTTCCCTACCATCTCAGGAGAGGTGACTCACGCACCTCAAGATCAACCTGTGGCACTCACTGCCACAAGACAACGTGCGTGCCCAAAGTTTAAGTGGATACAAAACACAAATGCACACGTTCATGGAGAAGAGTCCATTAAACACAAAGCCACCCTCGCCTCCAAAGCCTGGAGCTAAGCTCAGAGATCATACCATGGATAAATCCCAATAACACCCCATTTCTGTGTTCTTCCCTGGCTATTGCTCACAGCCAGTGCTAAAGTGAGGACAGCAGACCTCCCTGGAGGGACCTTCTTGTCCCTAGCTACCGGAGAGCTGCTCCCTGGCCACGCATACAGCAATTAAAAGTCTTTTCTGTGTGACAGGATTTAAATATAATCAGCCCATCCCATCCTCTCCCACCTCCCAACACAAACAGAGAAACACCACATGAAATGTGCTTCTGCAGCATGTCCTTACCCTGCAAAGCCTTGTGTCCTCCAGATGCCACCAAGGGCAGCCAGAACATTCCCACTAGCGTTGCTGGAACCAGCCTGTACCACAGAAAGAGAGAGATTGGAAACTGTTGGCAAAGAGGTTTAGTTATTTACTAAGCTCCCTGTCCCTGGTTAGTGCTACTTTACAGCAACATCCTAACGACCTCCTTACCCCGGGCACAGCCACAAGCTCCTTGTCTCCAGGAATAAGGCAAAGGGCAGAAAGGGAAACTGAGGCACAGAAAACAAAATGATCGCTCCAAGGTCACAGAGCTGGTTAGTTCAGAACTGGGTGTCCAGTCTTTTCTGCACTACACTCAGCACTACGTCCAGCAGCTGACACTGGAGTAAGAATTTAATAAAAACACACTCTCAAAGCACCAAAAGCGACTTTGCTGCTCACTGCAAGAGGATTTACTTGAGATTTACTTAAAAAAAGCCATGAGTAGTGTATTACAGGTGAAAATTGCCCTGAGAGCAAATCAGAGGACAAACAGCAGGACTACAGACAATTGAATTACATGTGTGATCTAGTTAGTGAGAGATGACTAATATAAAGATGCTATCTGAATGGTCTCAGAACATCCCAAAGCACCGTTACTCCCTTACCAGCACTGGCCAGGTGGCTCAGTGCAGCAGCAGACAGAAATGAAAAGCAGTTCTTACAGTTTTACCACCCACACTATCCAAAGACAGAGAAGTTGTGGTGGGTACAACACTCAGCAATGAGATACACACAACGCAGCGTCCTGGTGAGCGCAGATGTGCGTGACTCAGCTGGGGAGGTGCGTGTCATCAGCAAAAAAAACAGCAGGAAACATCCCCGTACTGACACACGAGCAACAGGGGAAGAACCAGCCACGGGAACTCCAGGATGCCTGACCTTTGCCAACACAACAGCTCTTTTCAGGGCAGGGAAAGGCCAAGGGCTTTTAGCTGTGTGGTTCCTTAGCTCTGCTCTGGGGTCAGCAAGACGATGACAGAACACTAGACTTACTAGGAATTTAACTAGTTACTAAACTTACTGATCTTATAAGCAATCTTCTTTCTGCCCTGGATGGCCCATGTCAGCCATCACGATCTCTGTGCCTTAAAATTTTAGGACAGAAAACCCAGTGCCACTCCCTCCTCAGAAAAGACACACACATGCACTCAAACCCAACCATTATCAAAAATACCAGAGGAAATAAATCCCCGATGGAAAGTTCAACTTTGGGCATCTGACTCTGCCAAGGATTTTCTCCTAAAGACACTACATGAGACTCTGGAAGTCTAGCACAGGCACAGGCCCTTCTCAGCTCCTCTGGGAAAGGACAAGAAGAGCAATAGAAGGAAAGGAACACAAAAATTTCATTATTTCTGCATGCGATACCTGTTCACATCTAATCCTGCCTTGGAAGACAAGAGCAGAAATCAGTACTAATAGGTGCTGGATTTCATTCTGTAATGATCACACAGAGACTCTGGAACTACCCAAGCCATTCACCTGCGTGTCCGCTGGCCTCCGCTGCTCTTACCTTTGCCAACATAATTCTCGTCTTCGCTACATCGAGAGGTGTGGTGACTGCAGCTGCAAATCCACCTGAGCAAATTAAAATAGCAAACACAAGTGAGACATTGTTGGTTGAATATGAATGCCACACTGCCTAGAATTCCCATGGCTGTGGTCAACACTGCTCCATTATTAACGCCTACGGCATGTTTCCTCACGTCAGAGTCCAGGTACGTTTGTTGAAGGTCTGTACACACAGTGTTTTATTCCTGTGTGTTGACTTAAGGAAAACAGCTCTATACCAGTTAACTGTAAATCCAAACATCCCCACTGAGATTACCGTCCTTTTGTTTTGGACTCTGTACATATATGAACATATGAAGATCATAAGGATAATGGATCTGACTTCCAACACCTATGGACAAGTCTGAAAGGAAGAACCTGCTTACTCATTTGCAGAGATTGGAAAATAGGCTTGTCACACTGTGCTCTGCCTTGAGAATTAAAAGTTTGACCATTCAAATAGTAGAAAAATACAGAGGAAAAATGCTCTGCATCTAAAACACCCATGGGTCAGGGATAAACGGACAGACAGACAGACTGGATCTGGACTTCAACTGTTAGACCTAAGACTCTGTTTCAAGGAAAAAAGACAAGGCAGTGTTTGGGATGGAGCTCATCTCCAACGAATGAAATCAGCTCCATTTTGCATAAACAATGTGAAGCTGCCCAAGGAACTTTGGAAGTTGTCAGAAATCTGCTGCCACAAATGCCATCTTCTCCTCATGGGCATTTTTACTGTCTCTAATCACCTCCAAACTTCACCCTTGGAGCTTACTACTTTCACCTGGAGCAGCCAGCTCAGCTGGGGCTCTCCTCCTGAAAGCCAGAAATCCTCAGCTTATCCATCTGCATGTCTCACCCATAATGTGTGTGTGTGTGTGTGTGTCTGTCTGTCTGTCTGTCTGTCTGATTGGAAGGATATTTTAACCCCACGGCTACAGCCTGGCCTCTTGTGCTATCCAGGGACAAGCTTTGCTGCTTTTTCTCCCAGGATCTTATTCCCTTTGCCTTATTTCCCCATCTTAAAATTAACTCTAATCTCTCTCTCCCTCCTCTGTTCACAATATTTCAAGCAAGTAATTCATGCTGAGGAAGAGCCAAAGTGAAGGAAACTTCTAAACTGCAGGAGCAGTCCAGCAGTAAGTGAAGAAAGAAAGGGGAAGAAAGGGGAGAAGAAAACAGAGACAGACTTGTTCTGAAATCTTTCTCTCTCTTCTTCCTCCTTTTTTCCCCCCCTCTGGAGCTTGTATAAATCCCATATCTGCTACAGCAGGGAACAAAGTGACTCCAAAGACTGAAGCCTACACAGTACCCAGGGAATAAGCTAAAAATAATCTATTTTCTGTTCCAAGTTTTATGGCATGTAGAAAAACTGATCTTTCTTTTCTTGGGATGAGAGAGGGGAAAAACATTTCTTCTAAAATATGTAAAGTAATGAAAAAAATCCATCTTCCCCACTGGCTCGTGTTTTTACCTGCATCTCTCTCTCTCAACTACCTTAGCTTAAACATATTAAAGCCCTGCTTTATGTCAGAAAGGAGGCTGGGCCAGCTGGCACCTTACATTGACTTCTCACAGTTAATTAAGGAATGTCCCATGGTGTTTCAGGAGATGCAGTAAGGCACATGTCCAGTCCCCTGGATCTCAAGCAGGAATAGCAGGCAAGCTGGTGAGCACACAGCCCAAAACACCCAGTTTAGCAGCAGCTGAGGTTGGCTCATCCAGGTCACTCTGCCGGAAGCTTTCTAGCAGTGATATCTCACCAAAAAGCCAAAAAATGAGTTGTATTCAAGAAGCCAAAGCAGAAACTATGAGCAAGTTAAACTAAATTCCAGCCCATTCTTGGACCTTCTTTAAGGTCAAAAATCTTTTCATTGTGAGCCAGTTTTTGAGTAAGTGACCCAAAAAGCTTTGAGAGAATGGTCTGGATAGAAACTTTGGTACTTGTGTCAGCGACTCATGTCAGTGAACTATTTTTAGAACTGTAAAAATAAACTCAGTGGAAAATAGTGGCTTTACAAGTCTGGATGTAGAAGCCCTTCCTTTGCCCACAGACCAAGATAAAATTAAACAGTGAACCACATGGCTCTCAGGCCTGTATCAGGCAAAAAAATCTCAGTGAGCACTCAGTTATAGAGCTGATGGTAACACTTTAGTCAAACTAACTTATTTCCCTTATCACTTTAGTCAAACTAACTTATTTCCCTTATCAGATCCCGTTTGTTTTTGGGGTTTTTTATGCATTTATTCCTAACAGTTTCTTATTGGCAGAAGCTTCAATCTTGGCTGACAGAGTGATTAGAACAAACACAATTTATCCTGATACGATGTTCCCAAATCTTTATCTAAAAGGTTTAATCAAGGCTCATTGGTTTTCATTTTTTCCCCAGCTATAACATCTGGATCTTTCAGATTCTTTTGTTATTAACATTTCAATGTTTCTTCTTCCATCACTGGGAAGTATTCAGTACAGATTTACCAATCAATTTAGAATGACAACAGCAACAAGAAAATGCTTCATAAGCACAACAAGCAGCAGGATAGTGGCTAAATTAAATGCAAGTTTGTATATGCTTGACAAAAACACAAGATTAAAGCTAGCACTTGTGGGGAACTGCATTTTATTGAAGGCACGGAGTCTGACAAAACGAATTTGCTTCAGCCTTAACCCTAAAAGTCCAAGGTAATTTTAGAGTGACCTCTTCAACAGCTATCCAAGAACAGGCTACAGCGGTAGCGAGGTCCTGCTCAGTCCCACCTACTCTAAGCTGTGTAAAAGAACTTAAAACATGGCTGTTTCCAATCATCAGATTAATACAACAGATACAGACCAGTACAGCCAGAGTCTACTCATTCAAAACCAGAGGGCTGTGTGCTGGACTGTCTAATACACAGCAAAGCCCAATGGATCCTTTAATCACTCCTTTAATCTGTTCCTGCTGTCACTGGAGCCTGCTCAACTGGTCAGCAAGCAGGAAAAGCAGGTATCAAAGTATCAGGTGGGCAAGAAAGGCCCAAACACATCCAGCCTTACACTCCTAACCATTCCAGCTTCTCTGCAGAGCTGACAGAGAAAAAGGCACCTTTGCAGGCAGTCTGTGCCCAGACAGACTCACCAACTCGCTCCTGGAGAAGGCTCCTTTCTCCCTTGGCCTAGCAGGATCTGGTGACGACTTGGGCTCAGCAAGTAGGCATGAAGACAGATTTTCACACAGGAAAAGGCTCTTGGCTCATTAATACTTCTAGCAGAGTGACAAACTCCTCTACTAGGAAAATAAAACTTCACACAGCAGTGGAAAATTCATCACCTGTCTCCCAAGAAGCTACAATGAACACTGTGTAGTCACACATCAGCTGAGCAGCTCAACTTTACCAAGCTCAGGGTGTTGAATAGAAAATCCCTCTGCTACTCACACCTTCCCTGTGACCAGGTTTTGATGGAAGTTCTAGTGACAGACATCTGCAGAGCATGACTTACCTTTATTTGGCAATAAGAAGTCTTGAAGACTTAAGATATTCCCCTAGGTTCCTGCTGGCATTTCCTACCCTTTTTAGCCATCATACGTAAATAAAACTTGAGAAGCATGAGAACAGAGTGAAATACTTCACCTGAGAACAATACATAACCCTAGGTCCTCGCAGTAAGGTGGCTGTCTGCAGAATTTGCTGCTGCTAGTATAGGAAATTGTTCCACGGGTCCTTTGACACACTCCTCAAATAAGATCCTATGAAGGGAGGAAGACAAGTTCTTCTTCAGTCCCTGTATCTTTTTTTTTCTGCACCATTTTAACTTCTCCTTACCCCTTTATAAAGGGTTCAGGGAACCCTTCTGGCCATCACAGGAGCTCCTCCTGATTCTGTGTTTCTGTCATCTATCTGGACCCCTGGCACTCTCTTCTGCAACACCAGCCCAATAGGTCAAGCTCATTTCAAGAGACAGGAGCTTGTGCTTGACTAATGCCCTTGTTTGAATGAGCCCACCTCAGGAAAAGAAAAAAATCCAGGCTGAGCTGTATTATTGCCTGTCTTCATTACTATTTTCTGTACTGACATCTGAAGGTTATGCAGCACTGATTGAGCATTGAACCTCAAACCCAGGATGAAAATCTGAGTTGCACAGGTCTAACACTAAACCTCATGGCATCCTCTTACACTGACTGATTTCCAAGTTCACAAATGGTCTTTTTCAGAACTCTTCCATCCATCAGTTCTTATTTGAACTTTTATTTTAGTATGTTATTTTTTTTAAGAGGAAGTTTATTCTGGTCCTTTATCATTCTGGAAACACCTGCCAATGGTAGAGCAAAGTGACCCAAGAAACTCTTTGGATTTCAGCAGAAATACCAGGAGGCAAAACACTGCTCCTGTAGTGATTTAATCAATTCAGGGTCAGAAGCACAGCCCAAGCAGACACTGCAGGGAAATCCTGAGAACCACTCAAAAATTTATCCTGAGCTACAGAGTTAAAGAGGCTTTTAGACACAGCGTGTAATCTTGTCAGAGCCGATCAGATCAAAACGAAAGTGGTGGGAAATCTTCCCTGTTAATGTGCAAAAAGCTCTCATTAGAGCTTTATTATTCACTGGGCCTGCACCTCCACTCTCCGTGACTTTGTCACCACAGAGCATTAATTATTAACGTTAAGCCACACTTTTTTTACAGGAGGGAGAAAGAAGGTGTCTTTATCAGAGGCCATTTTCATTCGCATTAAGCAGACACTCAGGTTCTCTGACACGCTGGAGATCACCTTGCTGCTCCAGGGCAGTACTTTGCTTTCCCAACAGTTAACACCCAACGACAGGATTTCCTTGCCACCGGCCCATTTCCACAGAGGATGCACAAAACTCACCCAGAAACTCTTCTGGGACAGGCTGTCCTGGTACAGTGCAGGGCTGGGGTGCAGTGGTCCAGCCAGGAAGCCCAAGCCCAGAGAATACTCCAGCTTGGAGTGCAACCACAATCATGCCTGGCCTGCCTGCAGCATGGGGACATGCTTCCCTCCTCTGCCTCCAGCCTGCCAAAGCCTGTGCCCAAACCTGGGCTGGTGTCCAAACAGCTCAGACATGAGGCAAGGTTTGGTTCAAATGCAATCTCAGGCCTAAAACACTATATATTAAAGATCTATCCTTGGGTTCTCTTCTCCACTCCTGCTCAGATATCACCTTGTCTCACTCCCTGACTGCTCCAAACAACTCCTCTAGTTAAGACACCAAAGATGATGATAAAGCTGGACATGACCTCCAGGGATTAAATTATTAACAGATGAGACAGAGAGGATTCCAAATCTCTGATATTTATGCTCATGTCTACTATGTTTCTATAAAAAGCCCATGGATCGCAAACATACATCTTACACATGTGCACTCAACAAGGAGGAGCTGGGCCTCTCACAGCACTTTGGCTGAAATCGCTGCCATTTCACAGGCACTGGGGATGGAATTCAATATATTGTTGCTCTTTGTTCTGTCTTCGCCAAATAATCAATTATGATTTAGCTAGGAACTAACCAACGCACACAGACACACACATATATGTGTGTGTGTGCCATAAAGGGAAGCCAAACAGGACTTCTCTTTCAGTTTCTTTCAGCTTATTACCCTGCCCCTCAGGACCTCTAACATATTTTTAGAAAGTACTGAATTCAAGCAAAGAACACAGGAGAAAAGCATGTCTGTGTGATTTCACCATCCCACTACTACCATGGTGGCATTTGACAGCATCTCTGTGTTTAAAAGTTGGTTTTTGGATCATCTTCTCCTTTTAAGGTTTATAACATGCTGATTTTAAATCACTCAGATACACAGATCCATCTTATTTTATTCAGAGGGAAGTGGTGAGGTTTTGATTTTTTTTGTTTTGGGGTGGAAAGGGACAAAGAGTTTGGTCTGATTTTTCTTCCCTCATTTCAAGCTATATGTAGGTAGTTAATAATTTTTAACTGTGGAATCCATTCTTCAGAAAGCAGGAAATTATTTTTCCACTGCCTCCATTCAGCAAGAAGGCTGAATATTTTCAGTGAAACAGAATGGATGTGGTACCAGGTTAGATCAATACAGGGCCTGCTTGTTACATGTCTGCAGAGAGAAGCAATGGAGACAGATGGGGAAGGTTCTGATTCAAAAAGAGTTGAACCTTGTGAGTTTTGAAGCAGGTCCTCAAAGGACACATGAGAAAGGAAGTTTTAAAGTACTGCTGGTGAAAAGGAAAGAACAAGGAAACAAGGAACAGAGAAGGAAAACCAGGCTGGAGGAAGTGAATCTAGAAGGATAACCCAGATAATATTTATCATGAATTACAACACAATCTACAGAACAGGACTCCAGTTCTGCACAGGTCTGTGCTTGGGGCATAGAGCCTATGAAGACAGCTAGGCTGAATTGTCTTATCTACCACCACATGGACTTGGAAGTCTCTGTGCTGCTCCAGGAGTGCTGGACACCAGGAAGTCTCCAGTGTCTCCTCCAGCACAAAGTGTTAGGTCTTCCCAAAGGGCAGTGAAGGGTTCATAGAATCATAGAATGGTTTGGGTTGGAAGGGACCTTAAAGATCATCTAGTTCCACCCCCCCTGCCATCAGCAGGGACACCTTCCACTAGACCAGGTTGCTCAAAGCCTCATCCAACCTGGCCTTCAACACTTCCAGGGAGAGGGCATCCACAACTTCCTTGGGCAACCTGTTCCAGTGTCTGACCACCCTCACAGTGAAGAACTTCTTCCTAATATCTAGTCTAAACCTACCCTGTTCTTGCACAACCATGCCTCTGGAAGCTCCTTCTGCAATATTTCCGCTAGAAAGTGAGCAGACTCTACTGAACATCCATCAAATAGTAGCAAGTCCAAGCACAACTGGTCAGAATCAAGGCATACAGAGAAGGAAGTGGAGGCACTGGGCTAGATTACCAATTGAGGCATCAAATTGGACTTCAGGAAATAACTCCACAAGGCCTTGGGTAAATCAGATAACCTTTCCAGCTCTGTGAACATGCCTGAACACGGTCTGTGTATCAATCTGGCTGTAAAGAAATCAACAGAGCTAAATTAATGATCCCATATCACACCTGCAGACCTACAGATTGCATTTTAAAGCATTTTGAGTTTGATAGGTTGTTTTGTTTCAAAACAAAAATGAACGATCTGCTTCAATCTCTCTGATTTTGTTTGCACTGATTCGATGAAGTCAGTGTAAAATCCAACAGGAGACTGAATTTTTAGCAGACTAAATTTCCCTTTCCATCTCATAAACATAGAAAATACAGCTGGACAAGATGACAAGGAATCATCTAAAATAATCCCCCTCTGTCCCAAAACGGACTCAATTCTACCTAAACCATTCCCTCACAACTCAGATGCCCCAGTGACTAAGCTGTGTGCAGTTACAGCCACACACCCTCTCTCAGTTGTGCAGTTACAGGGTCCATCAAAACCAAGCCTCAGTCTCTGCTGGAATTCTGCTGCTATTAATACTTCAATTCCCCTAACAGAGTTTATTTGAGAAAAAATTACGATGTAATGGCTCTGATTTTGTAAGTCATCAAAGAACAAGCTTTGCTTTTGATAATCTCTATTTCAAGAAATGCTATAATTTCTCTTTAAACAGGATTTCTTTTTTTCCACATATTCTGTTACTAGTTTGGAATCTCAAAATATATTTTAGCTCCTTGGGGAAAAGCTCTGGCTGTCCATCTCAACTACTAATCTGTTTTATCTATTAAGACAGTTGAGTCTCTCCTCCCTCAAACTTGTCAGCTATACTGATGAGTCATTAATTGATTTTTTTTTTTCCTCCTTTTTTTTTTTTTTTAACAACTACAGTAGGCTAAAGTCAAGCAAGAAGCCTACTGAAGAATTCAATTAACTTCTGGCTTGTTTGGTAATAAATAGTGGAGTATTGTATTCTGCCACTCTTTATTCTTGTTCTAGTGTCTGGAGATTGCCCAGATGTTTCGTCCTCTGATTTTTTTTTGCTGCGGAAGGCTTTTGCCTCCAGGCTGTGCAGCGCTGGTCCCTGCTCTCTCTCCTGCCTCTAGTTAATCTACACGGCTGTCAGAGCTGTCACATGAATGGTGAATCACGGCCTCTCGCTGAAATCACTTCAACCCCTGGGGAAGTGCTCGGAGCAGACAGCTGCACAAACCCCCACCCAAGCAAGGTTTCTCCTGGATGAGGATTTTACAAATCAACTTTGAAATAATCGCAAAGCCTGACTGACAGGCCCCTGGTTTTTAAATAACAGAAATTTGTCAAAAACAAATTGGTTGTCTTTCAAACAGACACCCTGTTTGAGTCTTTTTTGTTTTTTCCCCCTCGTCTCTCTCCTTTGCTGACTTTCCTATTTCCAAACAACTGGATCCGTTTTCTTCTAAACAAACTTGAATTACAAAGGAATGCTGTTCTGCTATACTTAATAGATTTGCACATTTTTCCCTTTCTTCTTTAGTCTTTCCCAGTATAACATATAATCCTTTGCACCTGCAAAAGCTCCACAGACTGCTGACTGCCAAGAATCCACCACGTGACCCTGCTTCCATGACCAGAGATCCTGTGTTTAAAGAGAAAGGAAAATAAAAAGTTATTAAATGTTTGAATCTATCTGATCCCCATGTGAGTTAACTCTGAGGATGGGAACTTAAGTGAAAAGCTATTTTTGTGGCATTTTTCAGTGATGTAATAAGTGATTTTTCCCAAGGAACTTGTGTACTTGAACGAGCAGATGGAGTGAGAAAGATGTCTGGAACTGAGGAGGGCTTGAAGCAAATTGCTTTCAGGGATTTCATATGTATGTATTTAAGCCTGCGGCCATGCAACTTTGCAAATATTTTGTGAATTTATTTTATTTTTGGCAGATAAAACAGTGCAAAGCAAAACACTGAGCAGGGGGGCGGCATGCAAGAACCAATACCAGTTCAGCCCAGATGTACCAAATACTCCCATTTAAAATGAACAGTCCTCAGAACAGCGAGACACGAGTCCTGTTTGCCCCCCTCAATTTCTTCAACCAAGCCTTCCCCTCACACTCCCAAAACCCCGAATCGTTAAGAAATTACTCTTATCACTCCCATTATATCCCGCAGCAGGTGTGTCTCTGTTTTTCACTTGGCGTCGTTAGGGACCACACACCCTTCTCCTCTCCCCTGCTCCCACACACACACCATGCTCCAATCCATTAACTCACAGCATCATTTCAACGGGCACATTTAAAAACACCAACAAGAACGGGGCTTTGTAAAAAAACACCTCTCGAGAGTCACGTCACACAGTGTGGAGGCTGATGGGTACCAGCAACAAAGGCCAACGTGTGATGGGATGGTTTTCATTATGCCAGCTACAGTCACTTTGTTCTCTCCTCCTCCACTCTGCTCCATCACCTCTTTCCCATCTCCTGAAATGCTCTAACACTGGAAGTTCTCCAGAGGAGAGGTTTCTGCTTTCTGATGTGAGGATCGGTGCTGAGCAAAAACCGATGGGATCCATGGCCCTTCTGAGGCCCACCACAGAGAAATCAGCACTTTTATTTTATAGCTGTGGCACTATCTCATTCTTTTTAAAGCCATATTATTTTTATACTATAAAATTTTCTGTCTGTGCTAGGCTGAGATACTGCTCTGGGGCTCCTGCTCTGCAATACAGCCACATTCCACTGGGGCATGAAAACTCCTTCCCTCATTTGCTGACTCTTCATTTAACAGCAAGTCCTCCTGACTTGCTTCTTCCAACTTGGCTGGTGGTTGTATTTCAGTTGAATGTTTTAAAAATCAAACTGTTCAAGCAACAATGGCCAGCCACAATGTTGTTTGGTATCCTGCCATAGCTAAATAGCTGCAGCTCTGCTGTACGAAAGCACTAAAGGGATTTCAGTCTCTTTAATGTTAGCCATTCTTTTCCTGGTGTTTTCAGTATGGGCTTCTATTCTGCTGTCACCCACAGCAGAAACTGATTTTCATGTCATAAATAAATAAATAGGGATTCATCATTCTTCAAGCCCTTAAGATGCTTTTCTGGAATAATTTATACTCTTTGGACCGAGTTTTCTTGCAGCTCAGTCCTGCTGGATGAAGGACACGTGCCCCTTACACAAAAGGCACTACCTTCCAAAGCATCTAGGTTTTGTCAAAGCATAAATCCCACCTTCAAAACCCATTTTCAAAACACTTCAGGTACTTAATAAACATCAAACTGAAAGTCAGGGTTTAGAAATTTAAATGCTGAAGCTACTTGATAAAAACAGAATTACTATATTTTTTCTTTAAACATTCTCCAAATGTCTATACATAGAATCATAGAATCATTTTGGTTGGAAAAGACCTGTAAGATCATCAAGTCCAACCATAAACCTAAAACTGCCAAGTCCACCTCTAAACCTTGTCCCCAAGCACCACATCTACACATCTTTCAAATACCTCCAGGGACTCAACCACTTCCCTGGGCAGCCTGTTCCAGTGCTTGACAACCCTTTTGGTGAGGAAATTTTTCCTAATTTTCCTAATATCTAATCTAAACCTCTCCTGGCACAACTTGAGGCCATTTCCTCTTGCCCTATTGCTTGTTATTTGGGAGAAGAGACTGAGACCCACGTCACTACGCTCTCCTTTCAGGGAGATGTAGAGAGCAATAAGGTCTCTCCCTCAGCCTCCTTTTCTCCAGGCTGAACAACCCCAGTTCCCTCAGCTGCTCCTCATCACACTTGTGCTCCAGACCCTTCCCCAGCTCCGTTGCCCTTCTCTGGACACACTCCAGCACCTCCATGTCTTTCTTGTAGTGAGGGGCCCAAAACTGGATGCAGTATTTGAGATGTGGCCTCACCAGTGCTGAGTTCAGGGGGACGATCACTTCCCTAGTCCTGCTGGCCACACTATTCTACTTCTACAACTAAACCCAGTAAGTCAGAGCAGCTACTTCTGTCCCACACAAAAGCACTATGGAAGATCTGCTGGAGAACTAAGAGGAAAACCAGCACATTCATACAGACATTCATGGCTTTGCCAGAAGCCCAAACTATTCTCAGTCATGATGGGGTTTTATGTTAATGTCATTGGCCAAAGTAGGAAAAGGTCATTCTTATTTCTTGGCATGTAGCTCTGAAATCTAGTTTCTGATAAAGCCTGGCTTCCCAGTACAGTTCTCCGCAAAGAGCCTTTGCCAAGCAAGGCAAATGGTAAAGAATTCCCATCAGTTATGCCTGCAAATTGACAACAGGTACTTGCAACAGTCATGCGGTACGGAAAATTGTTTAGAAGGGTGGAGCCAGGAACAGTTCAATTAAATTAGGGAAAAGGAGAATTGAGGCTGGAGAACAGGAAGAAAATTCCCCAACAGTGAGGTCTACTGAACAGCAGAGCCAGCCTCCCCAGGGAGGAGAGGAAAGCCCTCTCCTTTGAGTCATTTAAAAATAGATTGGAGAAGGCACTCAAGACTGTACTGTGGGGAATAATCCTGCGTTGGCAAGGGCAGGATGAGATGACTTCATGCATTTCTTTCCATCTCTGACTTCAGTGATTCACCCAGAGCTCCAAACCTGAACATGCAGAAGAGGGAAGCCGAGCGCGAGGACATCATCCCAGAGGAAGCCAAGAAGAACAAGTGTCACAAGGCCAAGAAGACCAGCAGGACTCTGGTCCAAATTCTTTCTAACCACACTGGTGCTGCGGGCCAAGCTGGCGTGCTGAAGGTCACACATGTTTTCTCTCATAGCCCATGGACCCACTAATTGACAGGGCTTTGTGGTAAGCTGGGCTGGTAAGTTCTTCAAAAACACTTGCTTTTGTGCTGCACCAAGCATGGTTTTAATACTACTAACACAGTAGCTATCAGAAGCTTGTGGATCATTGTAAAACCAGGGCCTTGTTCCTGGAAAGAAATACAAGGTTCATATATGTATCTTCCCAAAACACTGACTTTGGACAGAATTGCTGGTTATTTGCAGTGATACAGTGCCTCCATCACTGTCTACCATCCTAGATGCTGCACAAAAAAAAAGGAAGAGCCTCCCACTCCGGGGGATAACAGGAAGAGCTCAGGTCTCACAGAAGATGGGTGCCAGATGCAGGCTCAGAGCCCATGGGTCACAGCTCCCTGCTCAGGGCCTCCAAACAGGGCAGAAGTGCTCACCTAATGCCTGCAGAAGCCCTGCAACTACACTGCTTTTTCTACACATGCTCTTGCAATATGAAACATAAACTGGGAATTATGAGCAACGCAACCGCAACGATTGGATCAGCCTGGTTTCCCCACCACCATCACCAAGTGTCTCCTACCTGCTTACACTGTGCTCCTCCTGCAGAAGGCTGCAGGAGATAAGGAGATTTTTCCAGGGCAATACCCATTCCCATTACTATTCACAGCCCAGGAAAGCAAAATGACAAGGAGCACTTTACATGAAAGCAGCCGCCATGCCAAGCCTGTGTCATGTGTATTCTATTAAGCTGAAGGCTGAATAGAAGACTTTGTTTTCCACTTCAAAGGACCCCATCCCAATCTCTCACTCTTCCCTTATGAATAACAAATTGGAAATAAATCTTCTGGCTGAAGTGCATGGAAACTCATACAGTTGGGGCCCTCTGCAGCTTCTCAGCTCAATCACATGCTAATTTTTTTTGTAAACACTTTTATGTGATCTATATGTAAATCTCGCTGTGCATTGCCACACCATGTAAAGCAATACAGTGGGTGTGTCCTCAAGGGATGGGACACACTGGGAAGCCTGAATGCAGATTTCCAATTATTCACAGGGATAATGTTCACAGAGAAGAGTCAAGTTTTATACAGGGGCAGAGTCTTACTTTTCTTCCTAATGATCCCATTTCATACTGTCCCATAGGCCAGTGTCCTCTGCTTCTCACCACAAATGTTATTTAGCTCTTTTGAAACTGAGAATACAAGGACACCCCATTTTGCTGGGCAGAAGCACTGGAAAAGTCACTCTTGTGATATGCCAAAGACCTACCAAACTAAAAAAAAAAAAAACAAAAAAAACCAAAACAAAACCAAAAGAAAATATTACCACTGCCTTTAAATACAGGGGGGAGTATATGGTGCCCACAAACGTGGGCTCCTCACGTGTTGTGGACACCTGGACTCCAGATGGCAAATAACCTTTGACTGGTTCCCACAACTCCTTAGCTGTGCATGCCTGTCACCTTTGCTGTACATTTGTGGTAAAAGTTTGGGGCAGAAATCATCCATCAGCTTTGTGCTCTCAGTGCAGTTGGGTCTTGGTCTATATTCAAGACACATAAGCTATGGTGATCCTGGAAAAGGGAAACATTTGCATCTCTCTCAAACCTGATGACCAGAACAACACCCCAAGTGCTGCAGGAAGCATCGTGGAGAATGAGCTGTCTCTGCCTTGGCCTTGCTTCAGGCACTAAGAGGCAAGCAGGGCATACACTAAACTTGAGGCCTGCAGCTGAGTAAATATTACTATTCACTCCACTGATAAGCATCTGTAACATTTCTGTGTACCCCTCTGTTCAAGGCAGTGTTCAAGATAACAGAGGGGAGAAAAAATCTCTCTGAATTAATCATATGGATTGTGTGCATGTG